GTATATACAATGTGCTTGCACTGTACCAAAGTATTGTCTTATATTAAATTTCTTTGTTTCTTCTGTTTGTTATTGCTGTTGTTGAGATATACACAACAAAAATGTATGTTTCTTCAGTTTTTAGTTCTTGATTGCCTCTGCCACTAGTCCCTGCTTGGTAAAGCAGAAGGTCAATGAAAAGAGAAAAGATGGCTCAATCCAATGCATTGACACAATGGCTGCAACTATGGGCTCGAGCACAACAGGACCTGTCAGGAGCTTGTTCTGTTGTGTATAGGGTCACTGTGAGTTGAAACTGACTCGACAACACCTAAAACATACATTATTGTTGTTAAGTGCTGTCGAGTCAATTCCAACCCATAGCAACCTTGTATAGGAGCGGAGCAGCGGGTGAGCTTGAACCACTGACCTTGCAGTTCAAACAACTTCGTAGTCTGACACATTAGCCCACAGCGCCACACCAGGATTCCTCTGCATTCTCATTACCCCTTCAGTAACTAAAACTCCTGCTCTAACTCTATTTTTTTTCTTATAAGCACTGCCTACCCAGTGTAACTTGCCATCTTTAACAGTTTCGTTTCCATCACTCCTTCCTATTTAATCTCTTGATTATAACTCCTGAAATCTCTCTTAACACATGTTCTTCCCTTCCGGTTGTTCACCGCCACGACCTCTTAGTGGCACCTGCAGACACATGGCTGCTCTTCCTGCTTCAGCCTGTTCATGACTAATGGCTACTCCCAAGCACAGCATCGTAGCAACATGCAAGCCTGCATTGACAGACAGATGGTACTATGCATGAGCTGTTTTGGCTGGGAATGGAACCATGTCTCCCATAAAGAAGGCAGGAATTCCACACTATACTACCAGCTATCAAGGAGCTCTGGTAGCATAGTGGTTACAAAACGGGCTGTGAACCTCAAGGTCAGCAGTTCGAAACTACCAGCTGCTCCGCAGGTGAAAGATGAGGCTTTCTGCTCCCATAAAGATTTACAGCCTCAGAAACCCTGTTCAGGGTCGTTATGGGTCAGAACTGACTCGATGGCACTCAACAACAACCACCAACCATCAGCCTTAAGCTAATAGTTGAGCACTAACTGTTTGAGACACCTAGGAACTCTTGCCTCTAAGCCTAAACTCCCTCTAAATTATTCTCTGCCGTGGCCAGTATTGTATACCTTCCCACCACCTGTTTCCAGTCCCATCTGAGCCACTCCTATTCACCTTTCAATCTGTGTTTAGAAGTTAGCTACCTCTTCTGAGAACCCTTCCCTGACCCCCATAAAGTCTGAGTTAGATGTCTGTTTTGTTTTGTTTTTTTCACTTCATAGCACTTGCCCTCCCTATGTTATACAACTTCTTTGTATTCACTGCCCCTTAACATTCTCAGTATTAGTACAATTTTATAGTAGACAAGCTCTGAATTGGTATACAGAAAACCCAGAGTTTAGTCCTGTTTGTTAATCTTATCTAATCTCATGGATTTTAGGTTATAGAGATGAGAGATCATTAGAGTAGCCATGGTTTCAGTTTGTATTGTTGTCATTTGTTTATTTTGCTTGAAACTCCATTGTTGAGCTCTTTTTCTGCAAGAGTTTAAGTCTGAGAGCTGAAGTCAATCAAACCTTATATCTAAGGTAGGGTGTGGTTCAGGGGCCCAGCTGGAACTCCCCACTCTCCTTTCTGGCTTCTAAAGGCTCCTTGAGCTGCAAGGAGCGCAGTTTGAAAATGACTGGGCTCCCAGGGAGTCACTATATATTAAAATATTTCTTTTAATTTCTTAAAATAATCTTCTGTGCTGTAGCATATTAGAAGTTTTAATTCACCTTCAAGTTTGGTGAATTTCAGTTTTGAAAAGTATGGAAAAGATAAGGAATATTTGTAATTCTGTAGTGTGTCTCCATTAGCATTGAATGCTTTTTTTTTTCTGCTTTCTCTTTAATATGTACACTGTTTCAAATCAATCAAAGTCCAGAAAAGAGCTGGGCATTTTGATCACTGTAGAGTTTCACTTCACTGTTAATAAGTTCTTTTGTATGTTGTTAAGTGCCGTCAAGTTGATTCTGACCCATAGCGACCCTGTATAGGGTTTCCAAGGAGCAGCTGGTGAGCTTGACCCACTGACCTTTGCAGTGTGACACATTAACCCACAGCACCACACCAGGACTCCCTCTTTTGTATAGCAAGTGTAAATGTGGAAGCCTCAATAGAAAACATTTTGATTCCAATTAAGAACTGTACAAATGTGGTAGTTGAGCCTGGAGTATATGCATGTCTGTCTCCCCATGTACCTGGGTTTATGCAGACTCTCAAGGTAACTGAAAGTGTCTCCAACTATCTGTTATGTGGCCATGGTACAACTATTTTGGTCAGTTTATGACAGGATCAACATTGTCAACCCAACAGATTCTTCCTCTGTTATTATGTTCCAGGGGATGGTTAGCTTGGTAAAGGTGAGCATTAACTGAGTTTTGAACAGATAAGCATGCAGCTTATGCAACCACTCCTTTGTTTAATTGACAATGGCTTTTGAAATCTACTTAAAAAGAATGGACAACTGTTCTTGATACTGATCAGTGTGTTCTTAAGAGGAGTTAGTTATCCTAGAGCTGTAGATTTTTGTGAAAACATTGGTGGTGGTTTTGTGCCATGGAGTCGGTTCTGACTCAGTGACCCTGCATAGGGTTACCGGGGCTATAAATCTTTTTGGAGCAGAAAGCCTTCTCTTTCTTCCAGGGAGTGGCTGGTAGTTTTGAACTGCTGACCTTGATGTTAGCAGCCCCGACTCGTAACCACTATGAAATACCCTTCTTTATGTATTTGTCCACCTGCAGACAAATAGTCAGCCAAGAGGAGTAATTTTGATTCTTCACAAGAACCTAAATATGCATGGGCGGGGAAAAACAAAACACGGACTCTAGAGCTGTACTGTCCACATTTGCCCAGCAGCCACGGGCAGCTATTGATCACTTGAAATGTAGCTAATCTGAATTGAGGTGAACTGTTAAGTGTAAAACAGATACCAGAGTTGTAAGACTTAGTGGACTGGACCTCAAGATCGTTGGTTCAAGCTTAACAGCTGCTCCTCAGAAACCATATACAGGGTTGCTATGAGTCAGAAATTACTCGACAACACTTAATGACAACAAGAACCAAAAAAAGAATATAAGGTTTGTCAGTAATAATTTTTATATTGATCACATGTTGAAGTGAGAATATGTTATGTATATTGGGTTAAAAAGATATATGCAGCTTAATTTCAACTGTTTCTTATTAGTATTCTTTTATGAGAAAATTGCACATTATACTTATATGACTTGCATTTGTGGTTTCTGTTGTTTGAAGGGACTTCAAAACTTCTGTGGAAAACTTGAATTAAAAGATAATGGAATTTTTCCACGGAGTGTTTGAAGCCCCCTCATATTGTGTTGGACAATGCTGCTCTAGAAAGTTGCAGATTCCAAAAAATATTAAATCTGAAGAATGTTCCACAAACGTGGGTGGAATGGAATGCACAGGGTCAGACCCTAAACACCTAAAGGTGATGTCAGTCTTAAAATTTAGATTCCTGGTTTGGCGCTATAGGATAAGCACTGGACTGCTAACTACAAGGTCACCCACCGGTTTAAACCCAATAGCTGCTCCTTGGAAATCCTAGACAGGGTGGCTGTGAGTTGGAACCAACTCCAAGGTACTTAACAACAAGGGAAGTAAGGGGCTCCATGCTGCATTGTATTATGTCTAAATACTGCGTGATAGAATAGCTTCATGCTCTGATAAGGCTAATCAAATTTACCAAAACACTTTCCTTTACCACGGCACTCTCCTGCTCCATGGAGCTCTGTTGGTGTAGGGGGCTACACATTGGGCTTTTAACTCTCAGGTCAGTAGTTTGAATCCACCAGCTGCTCCGCAGAAGAAATAGGAAGCTTTCTGTTTCCATAAATAAAGATTTACAGCCTTGGAAACCTTGCATAGGTAGCTATGAGACGGAATCGACTCAAAAGCAGTGGGTATCTGTTCGCAGGAGTCCTGGTTGTGCAATGGTTAAGTGCTCCACTCCCAATTGAAAAGTCAGTGGTTCTTAACTCACCTAAGGGCAGGATAAAAGACCTGGCCATCTGCTCCCATAAAGATTACCAAAGACCAAGCCCACTGTCCTTGATTGTGACTCATGGCGAAGTAGAACTACCCCCATAGTGTTTCCAAGCTGTTGATCTTTATGGAAGTAAACAGACCAATCACTTAATCAGCAGTTCGAAACTACCAGCTGTTCTGCAGGAGAAAGATGAGACTTTCTGCTCCCACAAAGATTTACAGCCTCGGAAACTCTGTACAGGGTCTCTATGAGTCGGAACAGACTCCACGGCACATAACCACCAAGGACACAGGTGGTGTGGCACTGTAGGTGCCAGGTCGGCAGTTCACACTTACCACCTTAGCCTCAGCAACCCTATACAGGTTCCTTAGGAGTCAGAACCAACTAGATGGCACGTAACAGCAAGGACACGTCAGCATATAAAAGCTCAAAGGTCCCTGACCTGATGGAACTGACATCTAGAAACATTTTCTAATGCTAAGTTGTAAATTACCAGGATATTACAAGGGGTTTCTTTCATTTAGGAAGTATCAAATTGACCTTTGATGCCAAAGATATTTTATCTCCTCAAAGGACTTGAGAATTTGCCCTCTTGCTTTCATCATGTTGATCCAAAAAGGAGGTGAGGTTCTCAGTCCAGTGCTGGTCCTACAGTGCTACACCAGGAGTCTCCCCATCTTCAAGAGGTTTCTGTTTCTCTAAAGAAAAGTTATTATTTCTGAAGGGCCCCTGTAACTTTTTTCCCCTATAAATTTTATAATTCTTTCTGAAGCGAATCATCAACATCCTCCTTGATATTTCATCTGATTGGCCTTTTCTCTCAATGAGTAAGAACTGAATAACTTTAAACCTATTTGTATCTATCTGCATTTTTACCCTAATATTGCAATCTATTTTTCAGGTTTTCAATTCAAGAACAGCAGAACTACTTAGCCATCATCAAGTGGAAATAAAACAAGAGTTCCCAAGAGAAGGGTATGTTTTCTATTTTAATATGTAAAGACACCCCATATTATTAGTTCATTTCACCCCACCTGCCTTGTAGTTTCATAACATAAACTTGGCAAAACACTCTCCTGAGACGACCTGAGGAGTAGACATTATTAACCAAGGAAAAAAGCAACAACTTGTAATATATATATATATATATCTGGTAGCGTAGTGGTTATGAATCGGGCTGCGAGCTGCAAGGTCAGCAGTTCGAAACTACCAGCTGTTCCACAAAGATTTACAGCCTCGGAAACCCTGTGCATGGTCGCTATGAGTCGGAACCAACTCCACGGCACATGAAAACAACAACAACAACAAATATACACACACACACACATATATAGGTAATTGATGGCTTAGAAAGTCCATGGCAAAAAAGACTATTAAATGCCAGAAGTTCTACATTCATCTTAAAGTAATTTTGTTCTTTACAATTGTATGTACTCATCACTGCCAAAGGAACCTGGTGGGTGCAGGAGATTAAGAATCGGGCTGCTAACCAAAAGGTTAGTGGTTCAAACCCACCAGCCTGTTCCTGGGACAGAGATGTGACAGTCCACTTCCGTAAAGATGCCAGCCTTGGAAACCCTAGGGGGCAGTTCGACTCTGTCCTGTAGTGTCACTATGAGTCACAAATCAATGTGACAGCAACAACTTTGGTTTGTTGTTTTTTTATCATTGCTAAAATTTTTTTTTTTGCTGATTTGAGTGCATGTGTGTGGGTTTGTTTTTTTTTTAATGTTTTTTTCAAAAGCATTCTTCTGAATATTCTAAAATCATCTTTTTGGGAATAGTGTTCATAGGTAGCAAATGATTAAATATAATGTTCAGTATATTATTTAAAATCCAGTGATGTTTATAATACCTTGAAAATCTGTTTGGCAGTTTCTTATAATGTTCAGCATACACCGGCAGCATTCTACTCTTAGTAATTTATCCCAGAATGGTGAAAACATATGTTCACAGAAAGATTTACACACAAACGTTTATAGCCGCTCTATTCGTAATAGTCCCAAACGGGAAACCATCCAAATTGTCTCTTGCCAGTAGATTGGATTACAGTGGAACCACTACTCAACAATTTTCAAAAAATCAACTGAGAAATGCAAACAACATGGCTGAATCTCATTGATATTATGCAAAGTGGGAAAAAGCCAGGCACAACAGAGCACCTACTGCATGATTCTGTTTCTCTGAAATGCAAGATGGGCTAAACTAATTTGAAATGATAGAAATCAGAAGAGGGGTTGCGGTATGTAGGGATGTTGGCCAGATTTCTCAAAACTCAACAAATGTGGCCTTTAGATCTGAGCATTTTTCACTGTAAAGTTTACCACAATTTAACAAAAAAAAAATCAAATTTTATAGTTTAATATGAAAAATAGTCCCCTATTTTATGTTCATTTCTTTCATATTGAAAGCTATTGTTATGCTAGTGGTATTCAAATCCAGGTCCATAGACCTGCTCACCATGAAGTTAGTTAGGGAGAGGATCACTGGGTCTTAGATGGAAATTGGAAATCCATGGAAGGAGATTGGGTTTTGGGGAGAAGAGAACTTAAAAGACAAAACTCACAGGCCAGAAGAAGGCAGGGAGCCCTAGTGGTGCAATAATTAAGCACACTCGGTTGTTTGTTTGAACCCACCCAGCTGCTCTGTGAGATTCCACTTTTGTAAGGATATAGTCTAGAAAACCCGATGAGGTAGCTAGCCCTACTCTGTCATATGGAGTCACGGTGAGTCAGGATCGACTCAAAGTCACCCAACAGCAAGGAGGAAAGTAGAGAAGAAAGGTATTTGGAATTCCCTTGCTATTTCCAGATCTTAGACTAGGATTCTTTGAGTTTGTGCAGTTCTTACTCTTGGGCTTCCTTACTCAAATTGCTCTTTGTTTCGGCCTTACCAAAATTACCCTGACATTAGGTCTGAAAATTTGGATCAATCCATTATCTACATGAAATAGCTAATGGGAGGAATTTAAAATTTTCTCAAACATTCCAACAATTAAAAAATAATAATTGGAGAAAATGAAAAAGGATACTGCTTGGTATACTTATTGGACTTTTCAGAATTCTTTTTGCTGTATTTGTAATTCAGTGTACTTTGAAATCTCTAGTGAAACATGCACATAGTCTATCAAAATTCTTCCAACTTATAGTCCTGGTGTGGTACTGTAGAATAAGCACTCTACCTCAAGGTCAGTTTTAACTTTAAGGTCGGTGGTTCAAACTCACCAGCCACTCCTCAGCAATCTATACAGGGTCACTATGAGTCGGAACTGACTTGACGGCACACAACAACAACAGAAGCACAGGCTTTAAAGAAAAATGTTGTTAAGTAATGTTGAGTTGGATCTAACCCCATGGTCTTGATGGTGGTTATGTGCCGTGAAGTCGGTTCCAACTCATAGCGACCCTGAACAGGGTTTCTGAGGCTATAAATCTTTACAGAAGCAGAAAGCCTCATCTTTCTCCAGCGAAACAGCTGGTAGTTTCGAACTTCTGACCTTAAAGTTTGCAGCCTGATTCATAACCCACTACCCTACCAGAGACCCTGTGTATAGGGTTTCCAAGGAGAAGCTGGTAAGCTTGAACTGGCGACCTTGTTGTTCAGACCAACTATGCATCCAGCGCATTAGCCCACAGTGTCACATGAATAGGGGAACTAATTTCTTACAGGACTTGTAATCAGGATTTTAAAATAGGTAGAATATTTGCAGTTTGTAAAATGAGCAATTACTGCATTAAGAATGATATAAATGGAAAGAAGATAAGCTTTTCCTTATTTAAATCATTTCTATAGAAAGTTGGGTATGCATTCTTTGCTTTAGATAAACTGTATGAGCCAAAAGAGATTTAAGTATTCTCTGTGGTCCAGTGAATCAGTGAGGCTCTTTGAATGTCGTCTGATGTTGTAGGAATCAATGGTGGGAAGTGTATACATTCAATCAATCAAAAAACATGCATATCCCTTTAAAATTTCAGGGCTCAGAAACTTTCAAGTAAATTTGGACTGGTCGTTTTTAATTGATGCACCAGCCATGCCCCTTATAATTAAACATTCGAGAGGTAAAATTATATTTGTATTAACTTTCTTTGTAGACTAACCAAATACATTCTTTTGTTCAAAGATGGGTGGAGCAAGACCCTAAGGAAATTCTGCAGTCTGTCTATGAGTGTATAGAGAAAACGTGTGAGAAACTTCGCGAGCTCAATATTGATATTTCCAACATAAAAGGTATTTTTAATAGACTATTTTACTCACAAGATACAATGATCGCAACCAAAGTTGTAATAATTATGCTAAAAGAAACCCTGTCTCTCCACTAAGTCACTCATTAATTCAGGGCATAATTGAGTGTTCATGCAATGCTAATCATTTCCATGAGAAATGAGGATTCAACAGCAATCACAGGTAGACTAAGTCCGGATTCTTGGGAGGCTTCTATTTTGGTGGGGTGAGATAATAAGAGCAGAGAAGCTAATTTCAGACAGTGATAGGTACCATGCAGAAAATAAAACCAAGCGTGATGATGGAGTGAGTATGCCCGGAGGGGCTTTTTTTAGATTCATACACCAGTGAAGGTCTCTCTGAGGAGGTGACATTTTTGCTGAGATCAGAAAGGCTAAAAGGGGCCAAAACAAAAACCTAATCCATTACTTTCGTGTGGATTCCCACTCACAGCAGCCCTATAGAACACAGTACACCTGCTCCATGGGATTTCCAATACTGTGAATCTTTTATGGAAGCAGACTGCCACATCATTCTCCTGTGAGGTGGCTGCTGGGTTTGAACTGCTGAGCTTTCAGTTAACAGCCAAGCACGTAACCACTGTGCCACCAAGGCTCCTTCAAAATGAGTTAGCCATATGAATATCTGGGAAAAAAGTGTTTCAAGAATGTGGAATGTGCAAAGGTCCTGTGGTAAGAATAAGTTTGGCACATCTCTGGGTTGAAAGCAGGTATGCATGTCAGAAGTTCAGTAAAAGAAAGCTGTGTGGAGTTGGGGGGTGGGTAAGGGGTCTGAATGGGAGCGGGGATCCTTGAATGGGGATCCCATAATTAGGAATTTGGATGTTATTGTTAGCATCACAGGTTTTAAGCAAGGGAGCAAGGGTGATGTGATTTGATTTATAGTTAGAAAACCTTTTCCTGACTGCTATGTGAAGAGGGATTGCACGGGACCATAAGGTCGATTTGAATCGCAAGGTCAGCAGTTTAAACTCAAGCTGCTCCTCGGTAACCCTATACAGGGTCGCTATGAGTCGGGAGTGACTCAGTGACACTTGACAACAAGTGTGCATGCAAGGAGACCAAGGGAGAGCAGCTGCTATGGAAGTCCTGAGAGAGGATGGTGTAGTGTACCAAATAGTGGTAGTGGAGGTGGGGAGAAAGGGTCAGAACTTACCAATGGATTAGATGTCATGGTAATGGAGAAAGTAGGGGAAAGAAGAGATGAATCGATGTTTTTTTGTTTAATTTTGATTCTGCTGGAGCATCTAGATAGGTGGGGAGGCCTTTTACAGAGGAGATGAGAATTAAGGGACAGGCTAGGAATCAAAACACTTCACTTGTAAAATCTCTCTGAATTAACTGCGTAAGAGTGTCGGCTTGTGAAAAATTTACATCTCTCTTGTAAATTCCTAGTAGTTTTAATAGAATATCTACCCAAAGTTTAGCTTTGTGTCATTCATGCAGGGAGGAAATAAAACCCAAAAAGGTCATCCAAGATTCATATATAGTAGCATAAAGGATAAAAACTTAATGTGGTGATTATCATCTCTTTATACATTTTTCTAGTTTCCCATTCAAGGGGGTGCTTTTTTTCTTCCTAAGGCATTTTGCCTACAGTTAGAACTATCTATGGCACTTAACAAAATCAGGAATATCTGTTGATTGTGGTGGACGCTTGATTCATAGAATCCTGGCTCTGAGGTTTCCCTGGAATCCCCAGTAGAAACCTTGGGTTTTTTTGTTTGTTTCTTTTTTTTTAAATCATCCAAATTTTAATCATGCAACAGCTAGGTTTTTTGTTACTTAAATTTGATTTGTTTCATTGTTAAGAATATACACAGCAAAACACATTCCAATTCAAACATTTCTGCATATACAATTCAGAGACATTGATGACAATCCTGGAGTTGTGCAACCAATCTCATCCTCCTTTTCAAGTTGTTTCTCGTTCATTCACCTCAACTCCCTGCACTCTAAAATTTCTACCTAATTTTTCAAGTTGCTGTTGTCAATTTGATTCCATATAGATAATTTCTTAAAAGAGTTCAAAGCACCCCTTTTTTTCCTAGTTAAGCTGAACTTAAAGATTGTCTTAGAGCAATAGTTCCAGGGTGTATCCATCCTGCATGGCTGCAGAGAGTCTATAGAGTCCAGGAGAATTTGAAAATATGCTCTGCATTTCCCCAGTTCAGATCAGGATTCTTCTACGGAATCTTAGATCAAACTGTTCAGTCATGGTAGCTGGGCATCATCCAGTTCTTTTGTTTTCATGGCAAAGTAGGCAGTTAACCTCACACTCCATGTCCCTCCTATTCCTGACTCGTTCCCCAGTTTCAGGTAAACAGGGACCAATGGTTATTGTTGTGCCTTTTAAACTTTTAAGACCCTGTTGTTAAGTGCCATTGAGTTCGTTCTGAATAGCAGTAGATCATTGTCTGATATAGTGCTGGAAGCTGAGTCCCTCAGGTTGGAAGGCACTCCAAATATGATTGGGGAAGAATTGCTTCCTTAACATAGAGCTGACCTTAATGATGTGGTGGATGGAGTTCAGCTTTTAGAACCTTTATCTGCTGATGTAGCACAACTCTACATGAGAAGAAACAGCTGCAAACATCCATTAATAATCATAATATGCAACGTGTGAAGTATGACTTTAGGAAAATTGAATACAGAAAGATCCAAATCCTAGGTAATAATGAATTGAAATGGACTGGTATTGGGAATCAGACTGAAAATAGAATACTAGACAGATGCTTACTTGTGCTTTTATTGTCTATGCAAAGGCATAGTATTGTATGCAATGTTATACATTGTATGGAAACTGTATAACATTGCAAAGACTGAGCATTCCAGAACACTTCATTGTACTCGAGAGGAACCTGTACATAGGTCAAGAGGCAGTCATTCAAACAGCACTAGGGGCTACTGAGTGGTTTCACAACAGGAAAGGTGTGTCTCAGGGTTGTGTCCTTTCACCATACTTATTAAATCTGTATGCCGAGCAAATAATCCAAGAAGCTGGATTATATGAAGAACATGGCATGATTGGAGGAAGTCTCATTATATGCAGATGACACAACCTTGCTTGCTGGAAGTGAAGAGGACTTAAAATATTGATGAAGATTAAAGACTACAGTCTTCATTATGGATTGCACTTCAGTGGAAAGAAAACAAAAGTCATCAGCACTGGACCAATAAATAACATCATGATAAATGGAGAAGAGCTTGAAGTTGTCAAAGACTTCATCTTTTGTGCGACCCACAATCAACACTCCTGGAAGCAGCTTCAAGAAATCAAGTGACATATTGCATGAGGCAAATCTGCTGCATGAGACTTCTTTAAAATGTTCACAAGCCAAGATATCATTGTCCAATTGTCACATGCATATGAGGCCACAGAAAATACCATGGCTTGGATAAGATGCTGACCTTGCGGTTCGCAGCCCGATTCGTAACCACTACACTACCAGAGCCCGCAAGGTCAGCAGTTCGAAACTACCAGCTGTTCTGCGGGAGAAAGATGAGGTGTTCTGCTCCCGTAAAGATTTACAACCTCGGAAACCCTGTACAGGGTCGCTGTGAGTCGAAACTGACTCCACAGCACACAGCCACCATAGTAGCGTAATGGTTACGAATCGGGCTGCGAACCTCATGGTCAGCAATTCGAAACTACCAGCTGCTCCGCGGGAGAAAGACAAGGCTTTCTGCTCCCGTAAAGATTTACAGCCTCGGAAACCCTGTACAGGGTCTTTATGAGTCGGAACGGGCTCCACGGCACATTACAACAACAACATACAACTGAACAGCCTGTGCTAGCTTGAAACAAGCAAATAGACTATTTCATCCCTCTTGTGTTTAGAGAGTGAACAGCTGTTTGTCATTGAATTTAAGGAACTACCAAATACAAGTATAAGAAAAAGAGTAATAGATAATCTCATTCATCCTCTCATGTGAGAGAAGCAAGGTATAATACTAAACAGTCTCCAAATTGAATGTTTGCACATCTCAGCCAGTAGATTCTCTTGTATCTAAAACATCTCATCATTCATCCACAACCTTTCCCTAGCCAACACATTTCCATTACCTCTCAGAGAGCCTCTTATTTTCTGTAGTAACTTTCCAGTATTGACCAAGTATTCCTTACAATTGTTATAACTTGCCCTAGGCGCATCTTTCTGAGACTGGTTTTCTTAAAAAGCTTTGTCCCTTTCTCACTTTTAGCAGCCACATAACCTTCCTCTGGGGCTCTTGTCATTTTACTATGGGTGCTTTCCCTTTTTTGCAAAAATGTGTTCCAATGATAAATTACGGTTTTATATTTTTTAAAAAGGTTGTCTGTCATCCATAATGCAACGAGGCAAAGACAAAAACTTATTAACACCTTGGAGCATTTCCAAAACCTTTCCCCCTCTAAACATATTTTAAAATTGTGATTATAACTTCTCACAGAAAAGCAAAATTTTAACCAGAGATTTTTTAAATATAGCTTTTAACTAATTTTACTGACAGTGGAGAAATAAAACACACTCAGAGAAAAAAATTAAGTAGGTGAAGTATAAACCTTCTAGATACAAAAGTAATAAACTATTTTTTAGACATGCTAATGGACTCCTAAGGAGCTCTGGTAGCGTAGTGGTTATGAATCGGGCTGCTAACCTCAGGGTAAGCAGTTCGAAACTACCAGCTGTTCCGTGGGAGACAGATGAGGCTTTCTGCTCCCGTAAAGATTTGTTGTTGTTGTTAAGTGCCATCGAGTCGGTTCCGACCCATAGTGACCCCGTACAGGGTTTTACAAGGGTGTAAATCTTTACGGGAGTAGAAAGCCTCCTCTTTCTCCCGCGGAGCAGCTGGTAGTTTCGAACCGCTGACCTTAAGGTTTGCAGCCCGATTCGTAACCACTACGCTACCAGAGCTCCTTTGCCTTGGAAATCCTGTGCAGGGTCATTATGAGTCGGAACCGACTTCATGGCACATAACCACCACCACCACCAATGGACTCCTGGT